TTCGCCGTCTGACATGCAATATCTATCTGTAGCACTTTAGAATCAGTTGTATGATTTTATTCTGTTTTTTAAAATTTTTATGTAATCTTCCCTGAGCCTGCCTCAGGGGGAAAGGTGGGGTATAAATCCAATAAATAAATAAGTATAAATAAATAAAGATTATAACTAACCAAAACGTATGATTTATATACTGTGTCAGTTTTTGTCTTAATTTGAGTGACTGCAGTCAGGAGTAGGATTGTCAAGCAAATCAGAAAAGAAAATAAATCCTTGGATGACTTGCTCTTTTGCCTTTAAGAGCAGCTTGGCATGCAAAAATCTGCAAATGAAGGTTTTCATTATATGGAAATGAACATCATCACCAGCTGCTAGGGCTTTTCACACCTTAGGTTGTATATGCATGTTGTACACACATACAGTTGTTTATATGAATGTCTGAATGCCCTGAAAAATCCAGGGTCCAGATCAATAATATGGATGTGCGCACAATAAATAAACCCATAAGTGAGAATGACTGATTTAATGTACACTAAACATCTGAAAGGGGCTATCTGCATAAGAAGCTACAACTGGAGGATGGAACTTTAATTCTTCTGTTGGTGGCATTCCCCTGAAAAAAATCCCCACCCCCACCCCATAGCGGTGTTAGACCCAGTAGGTAAAAAGGATAGGCACATACAGTGTACCTGTATTTCCCCCCCTACTGCTTCTAATAGGAACTTGGGAGAAAGGGATCTCTCCTGGAAAAATGACATAGTGGAAGGGTTAACACCCTTGCAGCTTAAGCTGCACATTAGGAGAGCCAATCACCGACCTCAAAATAGGGTTGCCAACTCTGGCCTAGGGAATTCCTGGAGATTTGGAGATGGAGATTTGGAGAGATATTTCATCTAGTTTCTATGGTTCATGTAGGGTTGCCAAATCCGTCTTCGCCGGTGTCGGGGGGCTCCCGGCCGGTGTCGGGGGGGGTGCGCGCGCACAAAGTGCGCGCGCCGTGTGCACGTCAGGGGGCAGGGTTCCCCCGGGCCCCAATTCCGCCATGTTGGAAATTGGGGCTTCAAAGCGGGGGATTCCCCGCCCCCCACCCACATTTGGCAGTCCTAGGTTCATGTGAGGCTCCCCCACCCCCTGAGACAGGATCCTGGCCTTATGCCATCCCACCACCAAAGAGGGCGTCTGGCCCATGGGCCTCAGAATTGGGAAGGAAAGGGGGTTCCAGCACTCAGGTTCTCTTCCTTCCCCAGACTTTCACACTCTCTGTATTCAAGCCCCTTTCACCTGCTCCAGCTGGGAAACTATAAAAGGAAAAGGAAGCCCTCTTCCTCTTCCTCTTGCTGCCTGTCTGTCTATCCTGCTCCTTCCCCTTGCTATTCAGGGTTTCCTTAGCCTCTCCCATCTTGGCCTTCTCCAAGGCTGGGCTCAGCCGTGCATTCAGACCATTCCACTCCCTGCTGCTGCCTGGCTCCCAGCCTTGTTCTCAGCTGTGCCGAAGCATTCTGCCTGGTCCCCGGTGGCTGCCCTCTCCCAGCCTTCCTCACATGAGTGAGTCAAGCCTTTTTCGGCTTGGGTAGTCAAAGAAGAACTGAGTTGGCTCCCAACCGCACACTACAGCCTGCCCTCTGAAAGCTGCCATTTTCTCCAGGGGAACTGATCTCTAGTCTGGAGATCAGCTGTCATTTTGGGAGAACTCCAGGACCTACCTGGAGGCTGGCAACCCTACCCTAAAGTAATATGTAGTCTGGCATTACGTAAACAACAGGAAACAATTTTCTTGCACTCTATCAACAATATAATTTCTTCAACAGATTTTTTTGGTAAGCAGCATTTATCAAACTTTGTCTGATATTCCACCCCCCCCCCCTCCTTTCAGATGTAGCGTGTACGCTTTGAATTCATCCAAACATAAGACTGGCTCAAAAACGCTGTGCCAGAGAGTGAGAATGTGACTTGTTAATTCTTTATTTATTAAATTTGTACCCCGGCTGGAACTTTCAAAAGTAAATTTGTGTATCTCAACAGAAGTAACTTTCAGATTAGTGTTACCATGACACAAGTCCTGCTGCAGCATTGGTAGTTTGAAGACTGTATAAGCATAAAAGATGAGGCTAGAATGTCTGTAGTTCGTAGGGCTGCCAAGTGGGGGCAGGTGGCGGGTAAACCCCCGCTTCGGAGGCCCGATTTCCGCCACCACGGAATCGGGCCCCGAGGGGAACTCCGCCCCCTGAAGCGTAGCGTGACTGCGTCACCAGAGTTGACGCAACCACATCAATCACGTTGGGGGCGTGGCCCCAATCATCAGAGGGGAAACTCTATGGTTTTCCCTCCGACGATTGGGGCCACGGCTTCAACGTGATTGACGCCGCGCATCACTTCCGGTGATGTGCTGGCAGCGCGCGTGCTTTGCGCGTGCGCGCACGCATCGAGGGACGGCTCCCGGAGCCCAGCGAGGCTCCCCCGCTGGTAAGTTATATTGAATTGGCAACCCTAGTAGTTCAGCAGTTGGAGACCTAGTGCCGCATGACAGAGTGAGCTCCCATCTCTGGCCCCAGCTCCTGCCAACCTAGCAGTTCAAGAAATTGCAAGTAGATAAATAGTACCACTTCGGTGGGAAGGTGCAGCATTCTGTGCCCCTCGGTGTTTAGTCATGCTGGCCTCATGACCACAGAAATGTCTTTAGACAGCACTGGCTCTTCAGCTTGGAAACGGAGATGAGCACCGCCCCCTAGAGTTGGATTTGACTAGCTTTCAAGCAAGGGAAACCTTTACCTTAATTGCAGCAATGTTTCCTAGTCCCATAGTCAGTGGTAGGATTGCTAGCTGCCCAGGGAATAAGTGACCTGTCCCTTGAACAGAGGCTTGATGGGAAGTTATTTACCAGGTGATGTTATTTACTTCAGTGCCAAAAGCTTCCTCTGACCATTTCTACACACTAATCCTCTCTTAAAGGGACAAGGAATTTTTTCTCTAGGCCTGTTGGCAAGTTTCCTCAATGGAGCTGGGGTTGCCAGGTCTCAACTTTGCTGTGGCGGGGGGCTCCTCGCTGGGTCTCTTGGTAACCATAGAGTTCCCCCCTGAATGCCAGAGTGTCACCAAACAATGGCCCCAGCATGATAATGTCACTACCGGTGATATCATTGCATCAGCAGCGTCCCTATAGGATGCTGCTGTTTGGGGGTGGGGCGGTGGATTATCCTCCCCAGCCTATCCCCCCATCCCCCATCAGTGGCGGGGACTGACCAGGGGACCCTAGCCTCAGTTGATGTCCCTTCTTGAGGGAGTCTCTTTTCACTGAGTGCAGCATTGAGGGAACTTCTTATTCTGAATCCCGCCTGAACAAGTATACTGCGAACAAAGGAGAAGATAATTATTGCTTCAGGTTTTATGAGTTTTGTTGGGTAATAGGAGCCCCAAAACAATGTCCATGAGAATGTAATTTAGTTCTGTAAGCAGGCGTAGGAGGTAATTGGTCTTGGTACAGTTTGTAGTCTGAACTGAAGGCATAAAACCCCCAGACATTATTTTATTGTTATGTGTAGGGATGGGCATGAACTGGGGAAATGCTGGTTTGCAAACTGAAGTGGTTTGTGGTTCATAGCCCCACAAACCCAGTTGAAAGGAACTGCAGTCCCTTTCAACGAGGTTTGCAGAAAGCCAGGAAAACAACTGAGCAGCCAGAAACAGCTTGCTTCCAGCTGCTCAGCTGTTTCGGGCTGCATTGTGTAGTCCCTTTAAACTTTACAGGGACAGCAGAAGATGGCCCAAAAAACAGCTGCGAAGCGCAGAGGCACAAGATAGCCTGAAACAGCTGCTCAGCTGTTTTTGTGGCTTTTGTGGGGAACAGAAAGCAGGGATTAAAGAGACTTAGAATCCCTTTAAAACCCTGCTTTCTGCTCCTCCATGAACCACCACAAATTGCTTTAGAGGTTGGTGGAAATTTGTGACGGTAGACCCGTCACCACATTCTGTTTGCAAACCATGAACAAGGCAAAATAACAATTTTTTCTTCATGGTTCAGTTCATGCCCATCCCTAGTTATGTATATGTCTTTACAACCCCAGAGATATAAGAATAAACTGTAAAGCAGACTGTAAGAACAGAGCTGGGGGTGTGGCTTATGAGTCAAGTAGGAGGGACTAAAATTGGAGGGATAGGGCTTGTGGATTTAATGAAGGGCCCCCCTACCTTACACTACAGAATTCAAGCACTGCACCATTTGTTGAGACTGCGAGAAATGCAAAGTTATAATCTTTCTCTCTCTCTTTACCTTTCTGTTATTAAATGTATTGTTAGCGCTGTATAATAATTCTGTAACATAATCTGCACTGAAATCAATGGTAAAACCGTCCTTGAATGAGCTGCTGTTGTGCAGTGTTATATGCACAAAGCATTACCCCAGGTAAAAGGATCCACAAGTGCCTAAGCATTTTGCAATAGCAATGTTCCCATTGTGAATACATTAATTATGTATGAAAGTCTGCAGTGCAATTGGTAGAAGCTGTATGAAATCATCACTAGCAAAGCACGGTGGCATGTTTTCTACTGCTATATACATCATTACTGCATCATTTGCCAGGCTAGATGTTGTGTCCTCCATGCGGCTGTGTTCTTGGGGCCACTCCAGGTAGTATAATAACTTCTAAATGTGTATGTATAAAGAAGGCTTTATAAATACTTGCTGTTATTAATTTTTTATTATCATCTTTTCATTCCTCAGGGTAATGGATCTTTTCCTTCATAAATGTCTTTAAATTATGCTAATTAGGATAAGGGCGGAGCTTTTTTATGGTGGTAATTACTGGTACTAAGTACTGGCACCTTTGGGGGAGGGGCTCTCCCAAGTCCAGAGAGGGGAATTGGTGGAAATCTGTGCAGCCGTCTATATGAGTACCAGCACTTAATTTAACAACAACAAAAAAAACACTGGATAAGGATATTCATGTGTTTTGATAACTTTCTTTTTTACAAAGATTAATCTTTTTACCTCTCCTTTTGCTTTGTAGTACAGAATTGGACAGCTGTACATGATCAGTAAACACAGCCATGAGCAGAGTGATCGTGGAGAAGGTGTAGAAGTGGTGCAGAATGAGCCTTATGAAGATCCAAATTATGGGAACGGTCAACTGACAGAAAAACGAGTTTATCTGAACAGGCAAGTGCCTCTGCAAACATCTTGAAGCTGCATCTTCCTGTAATACTATGTGCAGAAGACATTAATATTTTAATATTTTGTAAGTAAACATATTCCTCTGTAGTTTGGCAGCTTGAAGAAAAGAAACAGGAAACAGTGGTTGACTAGAATTTTGCTTTCATTAATAGCATGTTCTGTTGGAAAACAGTGTGGCAGAGACACAGAGTACCAAATCACACTATTTTCTTATGTTCCATTCAAGGCAAAATTTTCAGAAATGTCTTATGTTTGACAACTTATCATTAATTAAATTAATGAATCATTAATACAATTCAGCAGCCTGCTGGTGTGAAAGCAGTCACCACAACTTAAAACACTTGTTAGAGAATAAGCCTGATATTTGCTTTATGAACTATTTATTGCTACACACAATGGACTGTGCACACACACATAGGCTCAGAAAGCTGTAGGATTGTTTTTGGGACGGACTAAAAGGTAGGTAGGTCAAGAGGTTGGCACAGGTACCACTCATCTCTTGGACCCCCTATAAAAGGAGAGAACCAGTCACCTGGTCCCTTCTACCTACCTGGATAGATAGCATCTACCCCGCAACAACCCCTGTCTGCTTTTACCCCTCTTAAATCCCACTTGCTATCCCCAACCCTTGCCTCTACTAATCTCTTGATCTGCAGTCAAGAGATCCACGCGTTCCGGCTGGTTCTGGTTGTGTGTGGATTCCTTTTGTTTCCATTTCTTCCCCTCTATTCTTCATTGGACCAACCAAGCTGCAAGACAGATAAGTATCGCCCACCATCACCTCCACCTGCTAATGCAACTGTGCTTATTTCCTACTGTAATTCTTAGGAACTTGATTGAATGTGTGAGTGCATCAGTATTGTTTGTATAGATATATTTTAAGTAAAAGACATCTATTTTAACCACAACAGCCTCGAATGCTTTACTGGTAACCCTTGATGGGATCAGGACCTTGGTATAAATTGGCAAGAACCCATTTATAAATTGCCAATTGCTGTAAATAAAGCCATTCGGCTAACACACTTCACATACTAGATTAGTTGGTATGTATGTTAGCCAAGAGGTATTTTCCAAGAGGTGAGAACTTACAAGACCAAAGAGTTACTTTGATCAAGAATAATCTCCAAATTAATATACAGTATATTTTCCTGCTATGTCTGCATTTCATGGTATTATAACCACACATATAAAAACATGGACAATGTCTGGGGCTGGCAAAGCCCTCCCTAACTTACCTGCAGCACTGGCTGCTGGCCAGGAGGCTATGTCAATGTCAAATTCGAATGTCTCTAAAGTTCCCCCTTCCCAGGCGCCACTCGCAAATCTCCAGGAATTTCCCAACCAGACGTTGGCAGCATGGACATGGGCCATATAAACACTGTTCCTGCCCACTCTACTCAGTGCTGCTCTCACAGGAGTGCCCTTTCACACCTCCATGCAGAAGCAACCAAGTTCTTCTATGAGAACTATACCTGGTTTTTAATGCTTTCTCCCTGCAAGTCTTCTGTACACTATTTAACATGCTACTTATTGCACAATACATTGATTTAAAAATATCCCTCAAGAGTTTTAATTTCTTTCAATGGCTGTACTTTTCAAGGTCCTGTAGTACTGAACGAATGAAGTTGCCTTATACTGTCAGACCATCGGTCTATCAAGGTCAGTAAAATGGTCAATATTGGCTACTCTGGCTGACAGAAGCTCTTCAGCATCTCAGCACATGCATAAAAAAAGGAAGAAACAAAGATGTGTTACTATGCTCGCCTTTAAACTGGAGATGCTAGAACATTGGGCCTTCTAAATGTGAAGCAGATGATTTACCACTGAGCCAATATGGTGGTAGAAAGTGCTGTCAAGTTGCAGCTGAGTTATAGTGACCTATAGGGTTTCAAGGCAAGAGACAAACGGAGGTGGGTTGCCACTGCTTGCCTCTGTGTAGCAACTCTGGACTTTCTTGGTGGTCTTCCAAGTTCTAACCAAGGCTGACCCTGCCTAGCTTTTGAGATCTGAAGAGATCGAGGTAGCCTGGATTTGGCCTTACATTAATGTAGGAGTGTGGCGTTTGCTGAAAATGGCTTGAACATTTCAGCAACAGAAATATGTTTCCATGTATAACATTTCTTCACTCATAAAATAGCTTCAGGAATTCATTACTTTACAGAACCAATGTTGGCCAGAAATGACACATCTGGATGATTCACCAAGATAGATGACTCATTAGGAAATTATTGGCAAATTTAAGCAGCCTTGAGCTGTCTTCTACAGAAACCTCTCTCTGTTTGCCTTCCATTCCATTCTTTCAAATGCCCATTGGACTGCATTTCACTACCCAGTACAGTTTCAGGCTCGTATTGAAAGTCCTGCACAAATTCATTGTTTCCTTTAAATAACTGACATTGCTTAAGATGTGAGTTAGCATTAAATTTGCCTCAATGTGCTCTGCAGGTGGCTGTCTATTAATTCCACAGCTACTGCATTGCAGGTCTGATTAGTGAATTCAGATAAAGTAAACCTTTTCCCCAGGTTACATTCTGCCTCGCAATGGACTCTAAAATCTACCAACTTCAATATGTTTTATGGCTCAGCTCAAATTGAATCCAAGTTTCAAATACCCATCGTTATTTGTAAATGCAAGCCTAGCTAACTTCAACTAGTTTATCATCAGTTTGTTCTTCAGTTGTTAGGTCTAACCAAAAGTCTGAGGGTGCTGGGTGGTTTTCAAACAGTGTTTTGGCTGGGGTCTCTTGGTGCCTATTGGAACTCCTCAGTGAGAAGAATGGCAGACAAGCCTCCATGACTAGGGTTGCCAGCCCCCAGGTGGAAGTGGGTGACCCCCCAATTTGGCAGGCTCCAATCCCTGCCCCCAACACCCACAACCTGGCACAACATCCCCAGTGTGATGACGTCACATGGAAGTAAAATCATCACACTGAAGATGCCACACGGTGACGCTCTAGTATTTTGCTCGAAATACTAGAGCATTGCTGTGCAGCATCCCCAGATGAATAGTGAATCAGCTGGTCATTTGCATCTCTTCTAGAATCAAGACTTCATTTAATTTTTAACAACATTTTGTACTTTCCTTTCAGCAGAGGTCATTTCGGGGGGGAATGTGGGGGAACGCAGTTTCTCCGGGTGAGGTACGGGGGGGCGGGGCACATGGCAAAGCCCCGCCCCCTGCTTCTGGCCACCCCGCTTCCAGCCCTCATTCAGCCAGGAGGAGGCAGGAGAAGAGGGAGGGTAAGTTGCTTCCTCCCTGCCTCTCCCCACCCCTGCCTGCCTGGGGCCAGGGAGGGCCTTCGCAGGGCTTCCTTGCACTCCCGCCGGCCTTGCAGGTCCACCACCGGGCCCCTCATGGGGCTTGGCAGTGGAGCTGCAAGGCCGGCGGCGGTGGCCGGGACCATTGGGGGCGGGGTGTGTGGCCTTATGACACACTTCCAATGATGTCAGGGGGGGTGGCCTTATGACACACTTCTGGTGATGTCAGGGGGTGTGGCATATGCTAATGAGTTATGCTAATGAGTTCCCCTAGCTCTTTTTCTACGAAATGACCCCTGCCCAGCATGATGGCATCACTTCCGCATGACATCATCACACTGGGTACATTGCGCATGGTGATGTCATCCCACCCCCCACACCCCCAAGAGAGCCCCCCCCCCGGCCTGGGAACCAAGAGGACCTGGCAGCTCTATCCATGACAGACAATTGGTCTACCACTATTAGAGATAAACGGAAATGTGACTGGCTTGATGGTATTGTGACTTCATGATCACACCAAGATTTGCTGGGATCACAGTCCAAGGAGGGGTGCTAGAGCAGGGGCTGCAAATCCAATGAGGAGGCACAAATAATAATGATGAGGCACAAAAAAGGGTAAACAACATTCCCTCCTCCTTTCCAGGAAACATTTCAGCTCACTTTCATGCAAAAAATCTGGCATAGCTCTGACCATGGCTAGTTTTCTTTCTATAATATGCAGGCACAGAAGAAAGAGTTACATGTTCTGTATGAGGCAAGAGTGAAGCCACTGTCCCAGACAAACCACTTTTCTTTATATACACTGATTATGTCCTCTGAACTATTCTGGGAATGTAGCTCGCTGTTACCTAGGAGGCCCATAGGACAGAATACTGCAATAAACACATTTTCCATAATGAACAGCAGCAGCCTCATGCAAATTAATTTACAAAATTTAAATCCCTTTTTTAATCAAACATGTTTATGTTCAGAATTGTTACTTAAAATTATGATATAACTGACATCAGCACTGTAGAATTTTGTGCAAAATGTTCGGTAATATCCAGATATAATTAAATTTGTTAGCAAAAGATACGTAACAAAATTCATCTGGGGTGTCAATCACCTGCCATTCCACTAATATTGCCTGTTCGTAATCAACTGTATTAAAATATTGAAATGTACTGAAGCTGATATAAGTATATATTAATTTTAAAACAGCCAAGCTTTCCAGCTGAAACATAATCAGCCATAAAATGTTTTAAATTAAATTAAATTAAAATATAAGTATTATTATTACTACTACTAGACATTTTATTTTAATCAAAATTATAAATTAGTGTACACGTAAGGGCCAGTATTTGATAGTAGCAAAAGATTAAGAAGTAACAATATAGCTCTTGTCAATAAAACTGAGGAGACAAAGAAAAGCAGACGAAAATATAATGTATTTTAAGAGTCTTATCTAAAATAATCTCAGTATATTTAAACAGTGCTTGTTAAAAATACATGGCCTGTATTCAATAATACTTTAACAGATGCTCCTGCATATCAAATATCAAATATAGCTTTAAATGTAGCAACTAATTTTGCATAGTGACAGCAAAACAACATATGAAATACAGCTCTTCTTTTCCAAGAAAAGGGGCTATTTACATCTTTCTCTAGTTATTTCACTCTATGGATGATATAATCCTGTACTACTTGGAGTCTCTCCTCAAGATGCATGCCACAGGAGGTAGAGCCTC